AATCATGAAAAGTGTAAATTTTTAAATTAAAAGATTAATAAAATTTATATTTTTATTTATATATTTTCTCTTATTAATTTTCATATTTTAACTTATAAATTTTACATTATTATAATTAACTTAAAATAATTAAAATTTTATTACTTTATAAAACACATAACTATCCCTACTCTAAGCATTAAAATAGATGTGGTTCATTTACACTCATAAAAATGCGAGAAAAAAAATGAGATCTATGTGTATTGTAGACGAGGTTTTTCTGGTAGGATTGTGTTAAGGTCACCAGTCACCTGACACCGTGAAGGGAGTTGGGAATCCGAAGGGTATACGTGGCAAGTTCAGGATCTTTAAAAGGTTAAAAGATTTTAATCATGACAGTGCCAAAAGGCTTTACTTCAGTACTTCCTACCTTTCCGATGTATAATTTTCATCTTACCTGATAGTGATTTTTATTAAATGGAAATGGAGTTGGAATAATTTTTTTAATTATTTTTTTATATAATTTGATATATTATTTAAATGATTAATTTTTTTAATTTATATGAAACTTATAATATTAAATATATTCATTAATTTAATGTCATGAAAAAATTATATTAAAAAATAATATAAAAAAATTATCTCAATAAAATTGTTTTGTCCCACTTTGAAAAGATGAAACGACAACGTTTTAGGTAGCTTCCACTCCCAGCGAGCACTTTTATTGCGCGCCATTCTTGGCGTCAAACATTTTAGGTTAAAAGCTTACTTCAAAGAAAAAACATTTTAGGTTAAAAGCAAAAAAATGCAGATTAAATTAAGGATTTGTTTAATTTTTACCTTTAAATCACATATTAAGAGTTTTTTGTATTAAATTTGTATAAAAAATAAAAAAAATAGATATTAATTTTAGTGTTATTATCATATAAAAAAATTAATTAAATAATTCATAAATTAAATATTATTTTTTATTTTTTTAAGATTTTTAATTTTATGTATTAATGATAAAAAAATTACAATAAATATACTCTTATCCTATAATTTAAGATACAGGATAGAAAAAACCCTTAAACTAAATATTTATTTTGTGGCGCTATCTCATTCCTTTTTAATGAAGGAAGCAGTGGCACACGGACACGGTCCTTGTAACTTGTAAGTGCTGAATTTTGCATTTGCAGATCTAATCTGAGCGCTTCGACACCATTACATTACCTAAAATCTTCCATTCTCGTCTCAGATTCTCCCCTTTTCATGTTCTACAATTGCGCATCTACAATTGCGCAGCCTCCCACATTTTCCAAAAATTAACCGGCTGAAGGATAATCGTCGCCGCGGAATTCTGTTTCCTGGTATGTACCACTTGAAACTTTCCAATTGATTTGTAAGTATTGAATTGTCTGATTAGATTTTTTCTTTTTCTTTTTTGGATGTAAAATGAAAATGTAGATTTGTTTGAAGGTGTTGAATGCTGTGTTTCGCATGCAAATATTTTGTATTATGCGGTTGAAATTGAATGAGTTTTGATTTTGAGTTATTCAAATTCGAATTTTATAGGTATACAACAGAAACACATTTTAATCTTTTCTCTTCTGGCCTCTTCTTCCTTAGCTGTTTTTCAATTTAGATTTCGTTCGGAAAAATATCATGTGTTTCTAGCGTCGGCAATGGACAGAACACTGTTTTCTTTTAGCTGCAATTTGTACGATTTTGATCTCATTTTCTCATCCGATTCAAGTGGAGAAAACAATTATTTCATTACTTTCATTGCTAATCTGGATTTTATTACACTTATTTCCTCTGTTTCTTGTAATTCTAATGCATACATAATGTTAAAATGGTTGAAAAGCATGAACCGGAAATGTTTTGGTTTTTGCACTGTGGGCAACACTGTTGGTGTAACGTTCCTCTGTTTCTTGTAATTCTAATGCATACATAATGTTAAAATGGTTGAAAAGCATGAACCGAAAATGTTTTGGTTTTTGCACTGTGGGCAACACTGTTGGTGTAACGTCGCCTTGGGATTTATGTATAATTTTGCTGTTTGTATGTCCTGAAGATCTGGTATAGTTTATGCTTTTTGACAGGTTGATTGAAGCTAAAACATCATGTTCAAGTTATCGCCGCATAGGGGCCAAAGATCCAAAGGTCTGAAAGTAAAGCACGTTTTGCAGATATGTGTTTTGGTTGGTGTTTGCGTCTGGTTGATTTACCAAGTTAGACACGCCAAGAAGGCGGCGTATGAGGATGGCGTGAAAACTGGGAAAGGTGTCAAGTTAGGGAGAAAGGACCCCCATCCTCGAGTGGAGGAAACAATCATTAGAGATGCAAGGAGCAAGGAGGATGAAGAGGAAGACAGGCTAGACATCAAGAAGGAAGAAGATCAAAACAAGCCTGGGGAAGCAGATGGTGTAGGAGGAGGGGGCAAGGATGATGATGTTGCAAAACAACATGAGCAAGATAAAGTTGAGGAGGAAAGCGGGCACAGGGAAGATTCAGTAAATGGAGAGAATGAAAGTGAAGAAATTAAGGAGAATGTTACTGAAGAGAAGGAGATTGAAGAGATTAGAGAGAATAATGGTGATGAGAAGGAGAATGAAGAGATCAAGGAAAAGGAATATGAAGAAAAGGAGAACGAGGACAGTAAAGAGAAGGATGATGAATCCAAGGAGAGTGAAGTTGTTGCAGAGAAGGAAAATGAAGATAAGACAAATGAAGAGACCCAGGAGAACAATAGCGTAGAGAGTGAAGGCGCTGAGGAGAATCAAGAAAAGGAGATTGGGGGAGAAAGCAATGAGACTGAAAAGGGCGAAGGTCAGATACAGAATTCAGGTACCTCAGAAGATCAGGCTCAGGATGAAAATGATGAGCAAAATGCAAAGGCTAGAGAGGTACAGTACAAGGGGGATGATGCTTCTAGTGAAGTTGCCCATGAAAGCCAAAATCAAGCAACTGAGAATGAGCAAGGTGGTTCTGAGAATTCTAACGAGACAGAACAGATAGAAACTAAAGAAGAAAATAAATTTGATGAGGAGAATCAAACAAATAGTGCTGAAGAAGTCAATGCCCATCCAGATGACTCAACCCCAAATGGACAAGAAGCTGAAACAATTGAAAAGAATGAATTTTCAGATTCAACAGCAAATCAAGAAAGTGGCAAGGAGAGCAATCAGTCCGAGTCAAAGGAGTATCTCCATCATGTTTCCAGAACTGCAACAGAATCAAATGAACAGCAGCAAGGAGATGTTGTAACACAGCAAACTAGGACTTCTGACTCAACAGAAAATGACCAGCAGTCAGATTCAGAGGCAACGCCTTCCACTACAACTGACAACGGAAATGGAGCTGATGGAGGTTCCTCAATGTCTTCCAGCAATTCTCAATCTGTTGCATCTGATGGTCAGACTGAGAACTCCAATGAATCTAAAAAACAAGATTCTGCTGCTTCAGTCACAATCCAAAATGATAACATAGCTCAGATTGAAGGATCCAACAATAAATCTGGAGGAGAAGGGACTCAAGAAAATGTTGTAGCATTGAATACAAATGACAATGCAAGTGCTGGGGAGGAGGAACAAGTTCTACAGAAAGAATCATCTGTAGAAACAAATGAAAATGGTAGTGCGGTTCAGAATGAAAATAAAGAAGATGGTGTTCAGAGCAGCACTGACAACAATGATGCAGGCCAGAATGAAAACAATGGCAATGCTATTCAGAGCATTACAGAAAATGGTGCAACTGCAAATGAGAGAGCTGTTCAAAGCAACAATGACAATAATGCAAATGCAGGCCAGAATAAAAACAATGACAATACTGTTCAGAGCAATACAGAAAATGGTGCAAATGCAAATGATAATGCTGTTCAAAGCAATGATGACAACAATGCAAGTGCAAGTCAGGATGAAAAGAATGACAATGCCGTTCAGAGCAATACAGAGAATGGTGCAAATGGAAATGTGAATGCTGGTCAGAGCAACACTGACAACAATGTAAATGGAAGAGCTAATGCAGGTCAGAATGAAAAGAACAATGGTGTCCAGAGCAATACAGACAGTGTTAATGACAATGTAGATTCTGGTAAGAAGGAATCAGTCAGTTCTTCCTCCCAAGAAGAGAAAGAGGTGTCTTTAAACCTAGATAGCAACACTGATGCTGGCCAGGATAATCCCGGTTATTCTTCAGATTCTTCAATTCATCAGGAAGTGAAGGAGGCTCGAACAGATCTGGGAACTTTACCAGACACTGGAGCTGGGGTGCATAATAATGATAATTCAGCTGCAGAGTAAAACTCCTTGCTCTTTTTGGTTCAGTAGATATCCATCGGTTCCGTTAATCATTTGTTTCTCCTTTTCATCCATGAGATAATCAGGGAAGTTCTGAGGTGGTTGTTGCTTCTTATGCTCCATATGGTATTGTTTTTGAACTTGGTATAGATTTCTTACTTCATATTTTGAAGTTTTAAATATATAATGATTTTGCGCAAAACATTCCTGAGTGTTCACTTATATGGTTGCCCCTGATGTCACGAGATCAATGTTTTATTTGAAAGGCAAAGGCAATTGTGCCCTAAAGTAGGTTAGAAAAAGTCATTTTTAATAGGCCAGTTTATAAAATTAAAATCAGTTTTTATTTTATTTTATGTAACTAAATAAAAAATATATATTAATTGCACTTTTAACATATGCTCAAAGGTACAAATTAGGAAAATTCTCGTTTTAAAGGAATAGAATTTACATTTTTCATTTCTTTCCTTTTTTTATTTATATTTTGAAAAATTGAAACAAAAAAGTCAAGGTTAAGCTCCCTCGGTTTAATTTAATTATCTTATTTTCTAAATGAAGATGATTTTACTTAGTTGTTCCTCAATCCCACTTTCCATTAGACATTACCGTCTGTGTTCCATAATATTCCATCCATTCTAAAATAACTAACACTTTTTTAATTTAAAATTTATTCCAAAATAATACCATAATCATTTTTTCATATTTTAAGTGAAATAATTTTTTTTCTTATTTTAACCCTCTCATTATTCCTTAATTTTAATTATCTATTTGTCAAAAAAAAGTCTTTGTTTTATTTTTTTTATTTTTTAGGTAAAATAAGTACAAATAAAAGTTGTCCACAAATCTTTAATATGAAAATAAAATCAAAATGTGTCTATTATTCTGCCGATAACCTAAATAACTCAAGAATAACCTCCATCCGCTGAAAACATGAGATTTTAAGTTTGCGTCACATAATATGCAAATGAGATGTGATAAAGACTGAGAGAGTGTTATCTCCCGTTGTACAACTAACATAAAAAAAAAAAAAAAAAATGTGTCTATTATTCTAAAATGAAATAAGTAATAAAAATTTTTTGATTTAGAATTTGAATTAGATTAATAATCATTTTTTCATATTTAAAGGAGAGAAAAATTATTTTCACTTAACGTTAAATTATTTTTCACTTAACCTTATCATTATCCCTTAGCTTTAATTATTTATCCTATCATAAAAAGGCTTCTCTATTTCTATTTTTGTAATAACAAAATACAAAAAAATAAAATCTGCATCTGAATTCCTATTCAACACGACCAAAAGAAACCTTGTACAACTTGCTATGCAGATCTTAAAATCCAGAAAGCAGGAAGTAATTGCCAACATTAACATCCAAGAAAAGATCCACAATTATCTAATTCGTACATATGACATAAGGCTATCAGTTACCCTAGTGGTGCTTCTTCTCGAAAAGTCCATCTGGACCTGGATATCACAAGATATATGGATATCACAAGATACAATCAGTGAAAACCATATGCAGAAAAAGATACGTAGATGCAAGAATGTTGATGAGGGTTAGTGTCAAACTTAAGCTATGGTATAACAGAATAATATGGTCACAATTATCTAAAAAGACAAGCATGCATCACTAAGCTTTTAAAATCTTAGCTGATTCAATATTTGGGTTGTTAAGATTAAGAAATTAAGAGCTGCTCCAAGTGCTATTTGCTATTTGGGCTGTTAAGACAAACTTGAATTCAACAACTTCAAGAAAAAAGGAATCAAATTCTAAATAATGAAAGCCAACTGAATTCTGTTAGATTTGACAACCAAAAAAAAAAAAATCCATTAGATTTGGTTCTGAATAGCCACTAAATTCTCTGAAGTTGTTTCCTCCATTCCGAGGTTACTCAGGAAAGGTGCTTTCACTCACCATATCAAAAAGGTTGACCACAAAAAATAAATAAGAAAACAAATAGAGAAAAGGACAAGGAACAAAAAATAGTAAAAACTGGGTACAATGTAATATAAAAGACCAACCTAGATGCAACAAACTCAAGCAATTGGCACAATGAAATAGCAAAATCCATAGATCCCAACAAGCAACACTTAAAGCTAAAAAGAATTGATAAATACTTTTTATATTTATGATTGAAATGAAACAGAAATAGACAAATCCAAGTTAGGAAAAATGTGGAGAACATACCCCATGGAAATTCCTTGTTGCGAATGTGCAAATATGGGTACGGCTGCATGATAACAATGAACAACCAGATGATAATCAGATAGAAAACAATACACACTTCAAATGTGAAATGTAAGGCACCAAGGCCATATACTCAAAAATAGAATTAAAAGAAAGTAGTGGATCATCTTAAAAGCCAAAGAAAAAAAGAAAAAAGAAAAAAGAAAGAACTTACAGGGGGCTCTTCATCGTGATGATGGCCCTTTGATAGGTTATAAATGGCTAAAACAGTGCAGGTAGCAATGCCAAGATATGTTATCTTCTCCCACTTTGCCGTTTCATCTGAAAACAATCATACAAACAATGACCATCTATGTATCCCAAACACAATTTGTGGAGGAAAAAGAAAAAATGTAAAAAACCCAACGAGAATGAAAACAATTTTCATAAAAGAATCAAGCAAATTTCGAATCTGAATTCCAATGCTTATGCTGAGATCAAAGATGCTGAAAAATCTTATGACCAAAATGGATACAGATGCAGATTTAGTTCAAATCTCAATCTCAACAGCATAATCGAAATATACTCCAAACAAAAATGAGTTAATTTCACAAAATCGAAATCGGCGATCACTTAACAAATTGAGAAATGCTACTTCGTACAAGATCAAACAAATAATATCGGGAAAAGGCAGCTTACGAGCATCGTCGTGATGGGAGGAGGAAGCAAAGCCACGCTTCGGTGGAACGGAGGAACGAGAGCCACCGCGAAGGGCGGTTCGAAGGAAACCAGATCGCAAGCTCGCCATCGCCATTTCTTCGCTCTTTACCAGTCCACCGAGGGCTTCGACTAAAATGCAGTCCAAATTCCGGAACTGTCTTTTCTGCCTTTCTCAAGTTTTCATTTTACCTGCGACGGGACAGACTGCGGAGGAGGGTGCGGCACGTGCGAGGTGCGTGATTTAATTATATTTTCCTTTTATTTTATTTTTACCGTATCTCTTTCTGTGAAAATGAACTTTATGTTAAAATTAAAAAATGGCTGACCAAAAGGAGATTTAATGGAAAAGAAAAAGATTTTTTTTTTTTTTTTTAATTTTGGATTGCACAAGAAAAGATAATTAATTTTTATTTTTTAATTCATGTCATTCTTATAACATGTAATTTAAACTCAAAATTTTAGTTGAAAGATAATTAATTTTCTTAATGGCCACATCCCAGAAAGAGCAGATGAAACCGAAAAAAGTTCCAAATCGACTCTGAGATGCATCACTGAATCCTAAACCACAAATACTAGCTTACTCTCCTTGTGCATTCTACGTCCTATTATTCTCAGGAAGTATAAGTAATCTCCTATTATCACAACAACAAAATTATTGTCATGGCTATATGCCTATATCCACAAGACCTGTACTTCTGGAATGGAAACATGCAACAGAAAAGAAATTGCATCATCAAGCATTCAGCAAAAGAAAAAACAAAACTGTAAAGGTACGAATAAGAGAGATCAAACATTGATTTATTCTTATTATGATTGATTTTTATTTTTTCCACATCTCGATTTGGGATCAACGTCGACGAGGGGAGAAGAATGACCAGATCACATATAAAATGATAAATCAAGACATCTATGAGCAGAAGGTGCCTTAGACAAGACCTCCCCCAAGGACTGATCCAGATCAATCTTCATGGCCAATGTCATGGCCATAAGAATCAGCAGAAGAATCCTCTTCTGGGTCACAAATAGAGACATCGCTTAGTCCAATAGAGGTTGGTGTTGGTGAAGCAACATCAACCGAAAGCCCCTGCACACGTTTCTTCAGTTTCTCAAGAACCACATCCAGCGTTGACTTCCATTTTACCAGCTCCTCCAAACTGAGGTCCTCAACTGTTCTAATCATCAACCCTCTCTTTTTCTGGCCCTCCATCCTCATCTTCTTGAGTTCCTCGGCCCACTTTTTCTCAGCTTCTAATTCTTGGAGCGGATTGGAGTACTGTTTGTTAAGCTCACACAGAGTGGCCTCATCATCATTTGGGACATTCTGACTTGAATCAGATGCAGGTGTCCCAAAGTTGGCAATCCGCTTCACAACTGGGCCAACAGAGGGGTGGCCAAATGAGAAGAAGGCTTTGACACCAGGAGAGAAGATAGCAAAAGCGGCCTCAACAGCACATAAGGTGCAGAGCTCACTAGCCTTCTTGACAAGGCCAGAATGACGTTTGGAGAACGCAACTTGTTGAGCATTTGCGCTTCGAATCCTCCTGATCTGAGTCCTTCTGCGGCCTGCACTTGGTATTCCTGCCATAGATAAACAACAGTGAGAAAAGAGATATGTTGATGATGGATGGAAAAATTTAGGGGAGAAACACAGTTATTTATAGGGCCGTGATGCCTTTGCTGATTGCTCAGGGCCACCCAAGTCTTGTATGCTGATTGGCCATTCTCCATTTCCTTCCATATATGTCCTTGCCAAGAATGGAATATGAAAAACGCATACCGGCTTTTGGCAGCACACTAAAATTTCAATTCTAAAATATCCTTATATGGCATACTTAAACTAAAGATGGACTCTTATTTATAAGCCTACCATAGTAATATGCACAAAAAATAGTAAGAAGCTTACCAAAGTTATCAAATGTAAGCATCCTAAAAAAATTAGCCATTCCCAGCAAAAAAAAGTAACAAGCTTACCAAAGGTATCAGATGTAAGACTCATATTTAACATGTGTATAACGTTTCTAAAGTGAAAACAGGCTATTCACCTACAGTAATTACTAGATGAATAAGTAACTGAATTTTGGTTTGCAGTCGAAGATAATTGTGGCACTCACAAAAATTTACCAGAAATATACTTTCTTTAAGTAAGTCAAATGCTAGGAAAGGTGCAGGGTTTTCTTTCTTTTTTAATTTCTCAAGATATATAATGTTCCCACTCATGAATCCAACTCAACTGACAGCTTATCTCAACCGGGATTAAGTTTCTTGTAAACAGGTTGAATTCAAATTAAGAGCAAATGGTTCTGCTACCATTGGGTATAAACAAATACCTAGTATAGATGGAGCTTCGTATTATTTTCCCCAAAAGCCAAGAAACAAGCATTTTCTGGTTGAGCATCCATGAGTCAAGTTCTGTATTTTGAACATTATATTATGTTGCATCCATTACTATCAAGGCTAAAGCAATAATAATACTGAGGTTTTTTTTTTTTTGCATAAATATATTTTAATGGAATAAATTATTCCTGAAGGTGAAGTTGAATTACCAAAAACCTCATTGGCTTTGCATGTCAGTGGAAGTGTGGAACTGACACAGTTATAACTTTTTTGGAATGGATTTGCGGTAAAAGATAGTCTTCCAAAAGAAGGTAAATCTAAAGAACTGTACATAGTTTTATACTTTTTACTGCTTAATTAAACATTCATACAGCCAAATGCCAAACAATATGTAGTCAATGTTGGCCTGAGTAGGATTAAACCCAAGGGTAAAATACAGAATAGAAATAACTTTGGGCTTCATAAATTCTTTGTAGTATAACTGAGAGAATAGTATTGTAACATTTCTAATGTTAGTATCAAGAGTTAAGTCAAAAGCATAAAGAGTTTAACAATCAATCATAAAGATATAACACAAAGAGTCCAAACATTTTCATAATTCTTGGGGTAACTTCTACTCTTCCTACACTTTCATTTTCTGTTAGTGAAGTTTAGTCTCTGACTCCTTGACACAGGGTGTCTGTCTGTGTCAAGAAATAATCTCATGTTCCAAACTGGAACTTAAACACTAAACCATAAGGACTAAGGAGGACTATCAAATACTGAAAGATTACGAAATAAGCCGTGGAAGAACACCTTACAGTATGATATCACTGAACTATAATTATTCAATTAATATAACTGTAGTTCTTAGAGCTCAAATTAAGAATGAAGAAACAATATGACAACCATGGGTAGCTTTATAAAAATAAATCATTCTTATCTATCATTTTCAGTTAAAATGGCAAAACAATTTATTTATTCTGGAATGTTTTTCACACAATGGGTTTCTTTCCAAGTCACCTTACAAAATCCAAACATGCTCCACTGTCATTCCAGCATCCCCCACCCATGCTACAGGATTGCAACTGGGAGACATGGTGACCAGCTCCGATACCAATTGATACAATATAAATCTTAGGAGAACCACACTTCAAAAGCTAGCTATTGAGGTGGGAGAACCCAAGGCCATATGAACCCCACACCAGAATCCCATAGTTCTGATATGGGTTTCAAGTCAGCTTGCAATTGGGAACATAACACAGTACATAAAAGGAATTTTATCACTGGATGATCACTATCTTCTAACAGGATCAGTATGGAAGAAAAAAGAGACCATTCACGATCAGAAACTAAAATTGAAATTTCATCATTGGACAGAAACTAAAATTCAATTTCATTTATTTCTCCAAACATTAGACATCAAATCGACTAAATTAAACATACTTAATGGAGGCCAGCAAAATTAACGCATAATCAGCCGCCATTAAAGGAATCAGACTAATTAAACATGAAAAGAGAAGTAGAGATCAATATCAAAAGGGAAATTATGAGACTTAACCAGTCGAAATCAACTCATACTCACCCCTTTGGGCGTTGTCCTCAATGCAAAGACAGAGACTCGACTGTCTGGAAATCTGATGTTAGAAGAGGGAAATATAGTGGAGTCTCGATCGCTCCATCGTGCGGGAAACCAACGATGAGGGTCATTATTCGCCGGCGGAAAACAAAAAATCCCCCGGGATTCGACGGAGATGTGATTGCGGATGGGAAGAAGTCAAGAAGCAGAAGTTGAAAGCATCGATGCATCTGGGACAAGGCCCATATGAAGTTCAACGAGGCCCAATGGGTCTGAATGGTCTAATACAATAACAAAGACTTATCTGCAGCTCTTCACAGCCTTGTAGCTAACTTTTCTTTTTTATTGGGTCGGCCACAGGCCCACAACTCACATTGAGTTTGTTTCATTTTTTTTTTTCATCAAACCTCACAGGGAGTTTG